AGAGCTTCGGCAAATATAATTTTATTTGTACATGCTCATTGGTTCAAAAGTTATAAAAGATTAGATTTTTATAAACCCGGCCATTGATTTACTATGTAGCTATGTTTGTAAATCATGTGGTAGTAGACACCCAGGTAAGCCGTGAAATATTTCAATTAGTGAGATAAAATTTTAACGTTATTACTTTTGTAAAAACATTTTTCATTAAACATCTTGCTTTTATAGAATTTTAAAATGTTAAATATTGCGGGAGAAATTAAAGGTGAAGTAAATCGATTTTTTTTATAATAATCAATATGGAACGTTCCCAAGATTTAATTATAAAAAAACTTTACCGACTGAAAAATGACAATTTTAGTCCCGATTGTTAATTGGGACAGCCTAAATGAAAATTGACCAAATCTAACCCTAATATCTGGGCTAAATAATTTTACAATTGTTATTTGGCTATATGACATATCGACAAAATTTTGCCACTTGAATTATCCGATTGCGTGGATTTAGGAACATTTCAATCATACCTGGGTTATATTCCACTGAGTTATATCCCAACCAGAGTTATATCCTCATATTTAAGTAGAATAAATTTTCTTTTTTTTTGTTTTTATAAGTTTTGTATAAGTTAAAATTACTTTAAACACTAACATATTTGGTATTTTTTTTCTTAAAAAAATTAGAGTTGAAAAACTATTTCGATTAGTTTCGAATTGCATTTCTCTTACAACCTTTAACAGCAGGTAGTTTAATCATTTGGGTAGGTTTATGATTTTAATGTTATTTAGCATCGTTGATTCTTTTAGTGACAATTTCAAACATTGTGTTTCACTAATGTTTCTCCATCCCCCGATTTTAAGCACTTGATCATTTATTATGATATAATACAGTACTTGCATTTATTATTCATTATTATTAAAATTTTTTTAATTTATCTTATGTTCACTTAATCGAAATATTCAAATAGTACGTACCTTAGAAACTTCAAGGTTTATTAAAATTTGGGATTTCATAATTTATTATTAATATTTGCCATCAACAATACTTATTTAATATTAGTTTAATAGTGAGTATAAAAACTATTAATAAATTTACTTGAATATTCTATTTAGGATTTACTAAATTTTTTTCTCAAATATTGAATAAGATAGGTGGCGCGAAGCGCCACCTATCGCACTAGTTTAATTAAAGTTTACGAAAGATTTTAAAATTTATTTTTTTGGCATACTGTATAACCAATAGTATTGTTAAATAACAGAATCAAACTTGATTAAACCTATTAATTATAATAAGTTTTTAACACAAATATGCCTAAGACTGATAAATTTATTAATAAATTTACTGAATATACTGTATCGCACTTAGTTATACCAATTATTTTAGCTATGGTAAAAAAAGGATTGACATCAAAGATCATGTGAAATGTAAAAATCATGCTGTTTTCATATAAAGATCATTAATGACTCAAAATTTTGCTTATGAAATCGCCTCCCGCTACAAAAAAAACAAAAAAAGAATTTCTCGTAGATTTTTAAGAAAGGCTTCGCGCTAGCTTAAACCTAACCATAAAAGCAAGTTTTATCACATTAAATATTGCTATACTCATTGTTTTGATTTCACTATTTGGTCGTAGTTACGTGCAAATCATTTTTTCGCCATGGCTGGTATTTAAATAATAACACAAAATCTGTCTATTGCTCCTCCATTAAAGTCCTTCGTATCGCTTCAGAAAATTATATTCAATTAGTAAATTTATGGTAAACCTAATAAATAAGTATTAAGACTGATTTCTTCGTTCTAATCTGGATTAAATTTTGCCAGCTTTATTTCAATACAAACTAGTCAATATAAACTTTATAAAAAAATCTTCTAAAACATGTGAACATCAAATTATTTAATTTTTAATAATTTGTTGTATAAAATTTAAATAATATTTAAAAGACAAATTTGTGAATATTAGAACCTCAAAAACTATTATATAATTGGATATTATTGAGCTAAAAGAATTTAATTAAGCAAAGACACCTTATAGTTAAAACATTAGTAAAGATCTCTTCTAGTTATAATATTAGTAAAAAACTCTTCTAATTATAATATTGATTAGATAAAATTATTTTACCAAGAAAAAAAAAAACACACACAAAAGATGATCTCAGCTTTAATGCTTTCCGAATGAATTTAATTCCATAAAATGGAATCGAAATTTTCGTATATTATTAATGTATCTGACACCAGCCACAAGAAAAAGCGGCGGCCGCACATTTTCCATAACATCCCTTATCAAGACCGCAAGGTTTAATACAAGTAGTGCCCTTACAAGGTTCGTTTTCTCCCCGGGCAAAACGATCGTAACATGCTCTAACTATATCGTTTTCATTAACAAAGCCCCATCCGCGATACTTTTCGCAACAATTTGAACCTCCACGACGATTGAGTTTTTTGGCGGAGCCAGCAATTAGGCATTCTTGGGCACACTCATCAACATCTGGAGCATTTAAGGCTGAGCATCCATTTTCGCAATCAGTTTGCGACAAAGCATGAGAACCCACAATTAAGAATAGAAGAATTACGAGTAACAAACGCATCTTGGTTCAGTAGAACTTAAAGGATTTATAATCTGTATGGTATAACTATGATTAATGTGATATGGATTGATTGATTTGAAAAATCGTAACGTACTGGTCCGCCATTAAATACAAAATTTGATGGCAAAATATCTTATAAAACGCAGCATTTCAGAAATACTATATTGCATTGCGACAATATGAATTAAAATGTTGTAATTAATTATACTTGCAATGTTGCAATTTAATTTTCTTTATTATAATTATATGCAATAATTACAATAGATATAAACATTGTAGAGAAAGAGTCGTTGTATTTGATATTAGATTATCCTGCATTTGCATTTTCTTTAAATTTTTTAATCTCATGAATTACTGCAGTTTTTTTTTTAGATCTATTCATAATGTTGCAAGATAACTATCGTTTTGTCTGGTAAATTAGGTTTACAAAATTTAACATTCAGCATATAAAAATTCCTTAAAGCATTTCATGTATAACGTTATTTATATGAATGAATTCGCTTAACCAAATTAGTAAAATTTTAAAAGTTTTTGCCAAAATAGTAAAATTTTGATTTTCTAATTTCCGGTACGTACGTACGTACATATAATTTTTTTAACTTGTTTGGCATTCATAGTCTTGTGGCGTAGATTTTTCTTATTTGGTTCTTTTTCTTTTAATATAACATTTACGTATATAGTATTAGACTATGAACCGTGTAATAAAATAGATTAAAACATGAAACTATGCAAATAAAATAAGATTTACACTTATCGCAGGATAAACAAATAAATAATTAACTTGCCTGCAATAATAAATTACGAGTTATTGAAAATTTTCTGAATCAAGAGTTTTTAATTACATAATAAACAATTCAATAAAATTTGGACAAGTATGAATTAAATACAGAAATAGAATTTATTATAAAAATGTTCGGGTTCTCTGTCCCGGTCCGTAAAACTAGGTGTACTAACAGTCGATCCAGATGTCACACATGACATTTTATCATATGATTTTCATAAATTACACAAATCGACGAAATCATGTTTTTAAAAATTTTGCCCAAAGTCT